TCGACTGCTTTCCCGGGCCACAGGCAGGGAGCTGGAAGGGAAGCGGGGCTGCCGGGATTAGAACCGGCGCCCATATGGGATCCCAGGCATGCAAGGCGAGGACTTAACCACTTGTGCCACTGCGCTGGGCCCCCCGCAGCTTACTCTTTTTAAAAGATTTGGTTATGTATTTTGGAAGAGTAACAGATAGTGAGATCTTTCATCTACTGGTTGACTTCTAAGTTGGCTTCAATGGCAGCCCACTCCATGCCAACTGTAAGGTCAGGAACTTCATCTGGGTCTCCAACATGGGTAGCAGGGGCCCAAAACTCTTGGGCCGTATTCCACTGCATTTCCCAGATGAAGCGCCTGAGGGAGCTGGGTCAGAAGTTGCCCTTTCCACCACAATGTCTGCCCTTGCAATTAAACTGACAGCTATTGTGAGTAATAATGCGGAGCATTCCTCTGCATGTTTTTTGGTGAGCATGTGACATCTGGAAGTTTACATAAAAAGTGGAATTGTTGAGGCTAATGCTGTGGCATAAAGGATTAAGCTGCCCCCTGCAATGCCAGCATCCCATTTAGGGGCTGGTTTGAGTTCCATGTGCCCCACCTCTGATCCTGCTCCCTGCTAATGTGCCTGGGAAAAGTAGCAGCAGATGGCTCAAATGCCACCTATCTGGGAGACCCAGAAGAGGCTCATGGTTTCCACCTGGCCCAGTACAACGAATCTTTAGAAGAAAGAAGCAGACATAGTACCCATGCAGCCTTTTAGTTTAAAATTCACATAAAAAGCTGAATTATGGAGGCGCACATTTGGTAGTCAATATTTGCAGATGTATACAGATTCAGCTTTAGCACAGTATACCTATTTGTAGCTAAGGGAAGTGTTGTAATGGCTCAATTAACCAATCCTCCCTTTGCAGGCTCTGGGTTCCCATATGGGGACCAGTTTGTGTCTTGGCTGCTCCCCTTCCCATTCACCTTCCTCCTTTGACCTGGAAAAGCAGTGGAGGATAGTCCAAGTCCTTGGAACCCTACCAACCCATGTGAGAGACCCAGAAGAAGCTCCCGGCTCCTGATTTTGCATTGGCTCAGTTCTGGCTGTTTTAGCCATTTGGGCAATGAACTAGCAGATGGAGAATCTTTCTGTCTTCCCAATAAGAATGAGTAATTTTTTAATTAGCTTGCTCTTTTTTGAAAAAAGATTTATTTATTTGTTTTTATTAGAAAGGCAGATCCACAGAGAGAAAGATTTTCCATCTGTTGATTCACTCCCTATGTGGCCATAATGGCCAGAACTGAGCCGATCCAGAGCCAGGAGCCAGGAGCCTCCTCCAGGTCTCCCACATGGGTACAGGGTCCCAAAGCACTGGGCCATCCTTCACAGCCTTCTCGGGCCATAAGTAGGGAGCTGGACGGGAAGTGGAACAGCCAGGACACAAACCAGGTCCACACAGGAACCTAGTACATGCAGGGTGAGAACCCCAGCCACCAGGCTACCACACTGGGCCCCAAAATGAATAAATCTTTTTGAAAAATGCTTCTCATTTAATCTACTGTAGTATTTTTTTTAAAGATTTGTTTATTTTTAAAGTCAGATTTACAGAGAGGAGAAGAGACAGAGAGAAAGATCTTCCATCCACTGGTTCACTCCCCAAGTAGGTACAGTGGCCAGAGCTCAGCTAACCCAGGAGCCAGGAGCCTGGAACTTCTTCCTGGTTTCCCATGTGGGTCCCAAAGCTTTGGGCAATCCTCAACTGCTTTCCTAGGCTGAAAGCAGAAAGTTGGATGGGAAGTGGAGCAGCTGGGACAAAAACTGGCTCCCATATGGGATCCTGGCACATGCAAAGCGAGGAGTAACCTCTGGGCACCTGCACCGGGCCCCATTCTACAAATATTTTATGAAAATATTTTGATGGTGATGCTTTAAAGTGGTCAAGGTGATATCTGAATTTCATCATCTTAGAGTGATGATGCCACAGAGGAGAGTGGCAGGCTATGGCTTCAACTGCTCTGCAGAGCCAAGATACAGAGGCTGACACATTTTTGCAAATTGCATTCACTACTGAGGATTCTCAGAAGACATAAGAGAGTGGCTGGACTGCAGGATACGCATCCAAGAACAAACTTTATTTCCTTCTGGTAGAATGTGGACTTACCAAAAGTTGTAAATAAATTTAACCTAATTAGTGTAGAGATATGATTGTGATGACATGCACTTCCAAAATTAGATAGTATCCTTTATAGAAACTTTATTTGAACATCACAGAAGTAATTCCTGTATCATGCTATGCGCATGCTTGGAATTAATTGACCTCCCTCCTCCGCCGTTGTATTGGAAAGGCAGACAGAGGGATCCTCTCTCTCTGGGTTCACTCCCTCAGTGCCCACTAACATCAGGACTAGGGAAGGCCAAAGTTGGAAGGCCAGAATTGCACGCTGTTTTTCCACATGGGTGGCACCCATCTGCTTTGCACTGTGCATTAACAGGAAACAAAGCTGCCCGTGCCTGAACCACAGGTACTCCAGTAATGAGATGTGGGCATCCTAAGAGGCAACTTAACTGCCATGCAAGCACCTGCCCTGTTTTCTCCCAGCTCTCAGAGAACCTGCGTGATTTCCCTCTCATTCAACAACACAGAGTAGTTCAAAATGTGGAGGGAGTAATTAAAATGTAATGATTACAAAAGGATAGTAAGAGGACTAGAAGATTTCTTGCTGTGTTAGATAAATATCATTTCTTGGGGCTTTTGGATGGAAGAGAGTTGCCAGTCTTATCAAGGTGATTTTTGAAACTCTGGTAAAAGGAAAATTGTCCTGGGAAATTTTGTTTTTCATTTTCTCTTCTAATTTTATTTTTATAATAGTAATGTCTAGGCATATTGATACTTAGAAAAATGAGGCTTCATTCATTTTTTTATAATGACATTTAAAATTCACACTGGTTGTTTTGTTTTAAACTCAATTCGAAAAATATCTTTGGTGACCTGTGTTGTTCTGTTTACTTTGCTGAGCTTTAGAGGGAACATAAACAATAGTCACTGTCCTCAGAAACCCCTGTGGGCTCTGTGGTGATGGAAACACATGCAAACGACTGTCCTACAGGATGAGGTGACGGCCACAGTGAGAATTCCCTGGCCGAGGGGAGGGAGGTAAACAGATTTGAAACAGGTCTTAGCAGATAAGAGTGGATTGGCCTAAAATGGCCCTTTTGCTGATCTCCGCATCTTGGCAGAAGAATCATATGGCTGGAAGTAAGATGCTTTGTAAAGGAGCAATGGGAAATAAGACTGCAGCGAAGCCAGGAGAGTACTTTGTACCTGATGGGGTGGATCATATAGCCCAATGGTTAAGACCACTCAACTTTAGATTAAGTTAGAGAAGTTCTGTCCCTGCTTAACCCTGCTGTATCACTTTGAATGGATTGTTTAACCTGCCTGTGTTCAGTTTCTTCCTTTCATTAATGTGGGTAGCACTCATGTAACCTGTGTATGAAAGGAAGGAGATAATGTTTGAAAAGTACTTAACATTTAACTCAAATAGCCACTCTGGACAATTACAAATTTTGAAATCATGATGTGGTAAATTCTAAATAGTGCAACATTTCTTTCTTTTCTTTCTTTCTTTCTTTCTTTCTTTCTTTCTTTCTCCCTTTTTTTTTTTTTTTGGCTGATCTACAGAACACTGCACACATTTAAAGTGTACATTTCATTCAATTTTCATGAATGCATATGCCCATGAAATCATCACCACAATCAAACTGACAAATAGGGACCGGCACAGTAGCCTAGCAGCTGAAGTCCTCACCTGGCATGTGCTAGGATCCCATATGAGTGCCGGGTCTAATCTCGATGGCCTAGCTCCCATGTTTGTGACTTGGGAAAGCAGTCAAGCATGGCCCAAAGCCTTGGGACCCTGAACCGTGCAGGTGACCAGGAAGAGGCTCTGGGCTCCTGGCTTCGGATCAGTGCAGCTCTGGCCATAGCTGCCACTTGGGGAGTGAATCATCAGATGGAAGATCTTCCTCTCTGTGTCTGCTGTTGTCTGTATATCTAATTTTCCGATAAAAACAATAAAAATAAATCTTACAAACTGACAAATAGACCCATTACATTATTAAGTTTTACATGGGAGATGGAGGCTAAGCCTGTGACCCCAACAGCACTTATGGACCCCTATTGCTTCACTTCTGATCCAGCTCCCTATGATCTACCTGGGAAAGCAGCAGAGGCCCAAGCACATGAGCCACAATAACCACATAGAGACCTGGAAGAAGCTCCTGGCTCTTTGTCCAGCTCTGGCTGTCATGACTATTTGGGGAGTGAACTAGCAGATGAAAGATCTCTCTGCCTCTCCCTCTTGTAGCTCTTTCAGATTAAAAAAAAAATTAAATTAACTGGGCCTGGTGTGGTGACCTAGTGGCTAAAGTCCTTGCCTTGCATGTGCTGGGGTCCCATATGGATGCTGGTTTTAATCCCGGCAGCCCCACTTCCCATCCAGCTCCCTGTTTGTGGCCTTGGAAAGCAGATGAGGATGGCCCAAAGCTTTGGGACCCTGCACTTGCGTGGGAGACCCTGAAGAAGCTCCTGGCTCCTGGCTCCTGGCTTCGGATTGGCTCAGCTCCAGGCATTGCAGCCAGTTGAGGAGTGGAACATTGAATGGAAGATCTTCCTCTCTGTCTCTCCTCCTCTCCGTATATCTGACTTTCCAATAAAAGTAAATAAATAAATCTTTAAAAAATAAATAAATCTTATTTTAAAAAAATGTTTTGTATAATACTTTCAAAGAGGAAAGTCTGGAGTACCATGTTCAGGAAAAAATGGAGCACAGTAGAGTGTGGAAGTGGAGAGATCAGTTCAGAAGCGCTCTCCAGCATCCAGGTAAGAGGCTAAGGGTAGATAACGTGTGGCAGCTGTGTAAGACAGAAGGTGGAATTGAATCTTCTTCATCATATGATCTCGGTACCTGGCCAGCAAATGAAAGATCCTTGTTTTAAGTTGCTTTTCTCACCCATTTAGGGCTTAAAAGACTGCATTCTTCCTTCTGGGACATCCAGCCTAACAGCCACCAAGCAGCTGCTTCGTCCAAGAATCACACGAGTCTGCCTCAGGGATTTGATATTTTGCATGGAACAGGAAAGAGAGATGAAGTATTCCCGAGCTCTGTACCTGGCCCTTCTGAAGTGACCACTCCACTCTCCATGCAGATCCTTGCTGTTTACTGCCAAAGAAGACGTAATAAGCATTGTTGCACTATCCTAAAATTCCCATTTCTGAAAAATAATCACCAGTATGGAAAAGCATTGTTTACAACTACAAACTGTTATTAAGTCTCACCTAAACATCCCGTGGGGTTCTTACAGACCAGAACTTAGCTTTCTTTTCTGAAAATCAGCTGTGAAACACAGTTTACACAGAACTGGACTTCTGCCTACTTGTGCGTTTAATTATAATTTGTTATTATTCATTTTGTTTGCCAAACTATAGTAGTTTGAGATGTTTTTCTCTAACATGTTACTGTTTACCAAGAAAAATGTATTTTATCCTGTACTGAGCCTTTCTCAAAGCGTTAGGTTTTCTGGGTTGGAGTCAGAAGTTACTTAGGTAACTGGGACCTGCCACAGTTAAAGTGACAGCTAAAGAGTAGGGCTGTGGTGACCTTGGCTGGCTGAATCCCAGTGTTGCCAGAAGGAGACAAGTGGAAATAGTTTGTGCCTACAGTTGCTAATTATCTGGTTCATCTCCCCATGTGCTGCTTTTCATTCCAGGTGAGAGGACATCCTTGTCAGGGAAACCTTGAAGCTGAAGCTACTGAAATACCTCATTGGAAAATGGAAAGGGTAGAAAGCATTGGAGGGAATGGCGAGGCATCGAGTTCAAAACGAGGGGAAATTAAAAATGGCCTCATGAAACAGAAAGTGTGCTGTGTGTGCCCAGAGAGCAGGGCTAGAACTGGAACTCCAGGAGAACTGCTCCATTTTGTTGTTGGAGGAAAAATAAAAAATCACAGCCCAACCAAAATAAAAAATATGCCCAACAGTCTCAAAGTATAGAATCTCAGAAAGAATTCGTCATTTGGGGAAGGGGAAATTTATATTATTTTAAATTCCAGGCAGGATGGTTTTTCTATGATTTCCTTTAGTAAAATCTTTTAGTTGTCCTGAATTTTAAGCATCTTGGTGGACTTCAAAGAAACACTAATTAATGATTGAAAATCTCAGACTGTAAGCCTGCATGTTGGAGTCTGTTCTTAAAGGGTGCTCTTCGGCGTGTCTCGGGGAGATCGGCTGTCAATGTGAGGCGCGTGTCAGACATCTGAGGAAGAGGCTCGTGTGCACAACAAGCCCTCTCTCCTTGTTTGCCTGTTTTCAGTCCCACCTATGAAGAATATAACCAGTAAAAAACAACAGCTATGGTTAGAATCTCATACAGAAAGAACGATTAAGTCCTACAAGCAGGATTTTTAAAAATTGGAAATGCTGTGCTTCTTAGAAAATAATTTGGGGGGAAAACACCTCTAATATGTTACTTTTCATCCTGTTCTTCCAATCAGGACTGTTACGGCCGTATTCTGCACCATAGTAAGTTTTAAATTGGCCGCATTTGTTGTTTCAGCAAGTTATGTAAAATGCTATAAATTATGTATATGTTAAAAGAGTGCTTTAAGAAGAGATCTATATTCAGTGTTGTTTTGTATATTTAAATGCTTAACTTTATTTTTTGTAAAGTGCAGCATACTTCCTTATTTGTGCATAATCTTATTGATCAGATGTTTAAGATTGTTTCAGGTACTTCATTAAAACGATATTTTATTATAAGAATAATTGCTCAGTCACTGCTTTGTAAACCTGTGTCGTGAAGCAGTCAGCCTGTCAGGGTCCTAATGTGCTGGGCAATGGTTGTTGCTTGACAACTGTTGGTTTCCATGTTATTTGACTTGTGAAGCAAGCCAAGTATATTCATTGCATAAGCTTTTTTTTTTTTTTTGGCTCATCGGGGCTTTCTTATTAACATACACTTTTCAAAAGAAAAATAAGTGTTAAGATTTTTAATCTATTTGAGAGTTACAAAGAGATATTCCTTCCCCTGGTTCACTCCCCATGTGGCTACAAGTATGCCCAAGGTGTTCTGCTCAGTTTGACAAATGATGTCCTGGGGGAGGGGTAGATCTGAGCTACAGATGCCTTCTTTTTGATTCACATGAGAAAGTGTATTTCTGTTTCTTTTGGAAGATTAAAGCTGGAGTTACTAGGCATATGTGGTACCACTCCACATGAAGCAGCCAGCAGTGTCCTCTTTACAAATGGAATATGAATTTAAATTCCCTTGCTGGATTACTTAAAGTGTTATGTTTTGTGATCCTCTGCTTTCAAAATGACAATTGATATTTGGTGATGAGCTACCCTTAATATGAGGAAGTACCAGAAAGTCTAATTCTTTTCTTTGGATTGGGGGCAGATGGCTATGGCATAGTAGGTAAAGCTACTACCTACTGTGCTGCCATTCCATATCAGTACCAGTTCAAATCCTGGCTGCTCCACCTCCAGTCCAACTCCCTGTTAAAGCACATAAGAAAGCAGCAGAAGGCAACCCATGTGCTTGGACCCCTGCACCTATTTGGGAGACCCAGAGGAAATTCTTGGCTCCTGGCTTTCCATCTGGCCCAGTCCAGGCTGTTATGGTTATTTGAACCAATGGGTGGAAGACTCTCTCTCTTTCTCTCTCTCTCTCTCTCTCTGTGTGTAATTCTGCCTTTCACATAAATAAGTCTATAAAGAAAAAACTTTGTGCTTTTGGGCTGGTGTACTGCAGTTAGTTAAGCACAGCTTGCAGTGATCCAGCATCCGGTATCAGAGAATAAGTTCCCAGCTGCTCTGCTTCCAATCTAGCTTTCAGGATGGCAGTACTTGGGCCCCTGCCATCCTGAGGGAGACAGGGTAAAATTCCTGGCTTTGGCCTGACCTAGACCTGGCCGCTGGAAACTTTTCCTCAGAAAAGTCCACAGGCAGAGGGAGATGAGGAAGGACAGAGCTCCCAAGCACTGACTCCCTCTGTGTGCCCTCGGTAGACACATTTGGGCCACTGCTGCACTTGAGCTGGAGCTGGAAGTTGGGAACCCCAACCGGGTCTCCCATGTAGGTTACAAGAACAGGTTACTTACTGCTTCCCAGGGTCTGCATTCCAACGAGGCTGGAGTCAAGAGCCAGGAATTGGACCCATACATTCCAGTGTGGAGTTCAGACATATTAACCAGTCAGCTAAATGTCCACCCCATTCCATTTGCTTTCTATCTTTTTTTTTTTTTTTTTTTGAATGGCAGAGTGACAGAGGGATAAATGTTCACTCTCCAAATGGCCACAGTGCCTATGGTTGGGCCAGGCCAAAGCCAGAAACTCCATCTGGATCTCCCGCCGGATGATAGGGTCCCAAGTACTTGGGCCATGCTCTGCAGCTTTCCTATACACATTTGTTTTCATCCACTTGACAAGAAGAATGACATACAGAGATGGAGAAATCTTGAATCTATCCATTCATTCCCTAAATGCTGGAACTCCATTAGGATCTCCCATGTGGATGGCGGGGGCCCAAGTGCTTGGATCATCCTTCACTGCTTTCCCAGGTGCATGAGCAGGAAGCTGGATTGGAAATGGAGCTGTGGAACTGGAACTGGCACTCCTTTGGGATGCTAGCATTGCAGGTGACCTGCTATGGCTTCTTGTCCCTCAAATCAGGCATTTTGATTTGGAGAGCTAGTGACCTAAAATGGCACAAGGCCTGCTCCCTTTAAAAGCTGTGTTTAGGGGTGGTATTGTGGCGTAGCTAGATCAGAATAGAGCAGCTGGGACTCAGCTGTTACTGCTGTGTGGGATAGTTGCACTGCAGCCACAATGTCAGTACCTAATTTGATGTTTCTAAGAATGGATGGCATGCCTGATACCATAACTACTCATTTAGCAAATGTGAAAGGATTTTTTCAACATAGATCACTAAGGAACTAAAGATGTACATGACAGTCTATGTCCTGGAAAGGGCTGTCTACTCAGATGGCATATATATGCAGTCGTGTTAACTCAAGGTAACATACACTGTGTTCCAAGAAGTGATGACAGGGTGGAAATTGTGTAAATGGCTAAGCCACCAATTGTGACACCTCCATCCCTCTTCAGAGTACTGGTTTATACTTCACTTCATATCCAGCTTCCAGCTAATGCATGCTGAGATACAGCAGTTAAATGTTTGGGAACATTTAACTTGGGACCCTGCCATCCATTGTGGCATAATGGGTTACACTGCTACCTACAATGTTAGCATCCCATATGGGTGCCAGTTCAAGTCTGGCTGCTCCACTTCCAATTCAATTCCCTGCTAATGGCCTGGGAAAAGTAGTGAAAGATGACTCAATTGCTGGGTTCTGTGGTGTACATGAGATCGAGAAGAAGTCCCTGGTTTCAGCTTACCCAGCCCTGACCATTGTGGTAATTTGGGAAGTAAGCCAAGGTTTCTGTTTCTGTTTCTGTTTCTGTTTCTGTGTGTCACTCTGCCTTCCAAATAGATGGGAAACTTTTTTTCTTTTAAATTTACAGAGTATTGCACATAATAGGTTTTCATGAAATTCTTGCGAAAATGGTATATATGTAAAGAGAAGGAGATAGCAGAGAGAAGGATCTTCCATCAGCTGATTCCTCAAGTGGCCACAATGGCTGGAGTTAAACCGATCCTGAGCTGGGATCCAGGAATCTCCGAGTCTTCCACATTGGCACAGCGTCTCAAGGCTTTGGATCATCCTCCACTGCTTTCCCAGGCCACAAGCAGGGAGCTGGATGAAAAGTAGAGCAGCCAGGACAAACCAGCACCCTTATGGGATTCTGGTGCATGTAAGGTAAGGACTTTAGCCACTAGGCTTTCGTGCTGGGCTCAATATTACTTCTAAATTACTCGGTTGTGAAAAAAATAATTAATAAGATATTCCGGTCACAGCACCATGCATTTAGGGAAGAAAATATTACCTTGACTGTTGATGAGAGTTGTAGTGGAAAAGTGGCAGACGGATTGTTTTAGAAATATCAGATGGGGACAATCAATATTGTCATAGTGTCTCAAATCAAAAAAGTATAGCAGAATATATATTCAAGTTCTTCACCTTTGTTGTTCCAGTAAATTCTTCACAATTACACTTCAAAGACATTACAGGAAAGGATTTAGGTTCCTATAAGACTTTTATATCCCTCACAAATTTCCTCTTGATTCAGAGCAGTATGGCATCAGGCAGAAAACTTGGAAAATAAAAATGCAAGGAGAGTGTTAACATTGGCAGTATTTTGGTGTCTTGCCTTTCATTCAGCCTTCATGTTTGTGCCAGTTCTGTAGCAGTTTTTGATACGACATTGTGTAATGGCCTATATACCATTGGTGAGGGTAGTGGGAAATGAGGCTAGGGGAGTAAGATATCATTTTTAAAACTCTGTCCCTCAAAGTAGTGGACAGACTATGCTTCCCATTTCCTCAGATTTCCTAAAATATCA